TGATCGTGATCATTCCATTCTGCCCATCCGGCCTTTCCCCCTTGCCCCGAACTCGCTCCCATCCCCGGCCTTCATTCCCCCCATCTCCTCCAAACTCTGAAGCATCATCATCTTCAGTAAGGTAGGACGTATAGTCCCGCATATCGGGCGGGTACTCCCCTCGTCATGCGTGCTTCTTGCAGTCGTCGCTCATTTCCCCATTGTTCACCAACAACTCCCCTTGCTTACATAGTATAAAGAAGTTGATGAGCTCAGAGGAGCACGACTTTCCTACTCCCTCCCTATACCCCTACTGCCCTTCCGAGGGAGTGCGTCACCGTTGCTGCCGGAAAGTGGGTTTTTACTGTTCTGTCAATCCCTCTCCGGGTTTCGGTCGCTCGTCCAGAGCTTTCAAAAATTCCATCCATTCATGCCGAGCAGAAAAAACGACACAAGAGAGCGCTCGAGTGCTTGATCTTCTCTCTTTCCAGAGCAGCCCTTCAAGATTAGTGGGTGACGCTCTCAAAAAGGGTTATACTCAATCATCATCATCATCATATAGCAAGGCGTTTGTTTCACCATATAGCAAGGCGTTTTTAGAGCATGCCCGCTTGGCGATGGATGGAAAAGGAGTCCAGCCAGATTAAGGATCGAATAGTGCCGACCAGGTTGGGAAACCAGTGGGAAGCAATGGAAGTGGTGACAGGCTCCTAAGGTTTGGTTTGGATCTCAGAGTGCATCGCCAAGGGAAACGATGGTAGGGATAGTAGCGATCTTTTCGGAAAGGTAAAAGAGATCACTCGCTCAAGTGCTTGCGAAAGATAATCGTTCTTTAATGAGAGGAGGGCAGCGGGTGGGGTTGGGGGTGACTCATGGACGGTCCATCCGACAGAAAGAATTAATGCAGGTATCAACATCGACTGAGTAGTGGGAGTAGTACGTATTTCCTCCTCTGAAAAATACAGTACTGACGACGAGTGCTTGGACACTCGATGGATCGTGTCATCATTCCACAAAAACCACAGTCGTCGCTCATCCGACAAACAGACCGCCATCATTACCCCGCTCATTAAAAGTTTATCCTGCGCCCCATTCCTCACATAATCGTTGCCCATATCCCCTGCTTCCCGCCAACACCTCCTCAAGTACTTCACTCACTCCTGTGAGCAAAGAAGAGCTAAAGAGAGAAGGAGAGATGTCCTTCCTGCTCCCCATAGTACTTGTTCTCACCGCCCCCCCAAAACATGCATCATCATGGCTACGTAGAAGTAACTCCCGCCCTTGCATTGCAACGTTCCGAACTCAGACCGACGAGAAGAGTGTGAGCGGAAGGATTGGTCATAGTCATAGAGTAACTATTCCTGACAAATACATGACGTCACCAAAAAGAATCGCAAAAGAGGTCTTTTCTTCCAAAAGGCCAATAGCCACTCTTGAAATCAAACAGAGACGGATAGTACAGGTACTGATGTCGCCAAGAAGGTGGTGACGGGGACAATGATGATATGATAAGAAAGTAGTGGAGGGGTTGGGACTGGTGGTCCAGATCAGGGGTGATGTAGAAAGGCAGGGAGGGAGTGCACGATTGGGAGGGGGGGAAACAGGAAAGCGAGAGCGACCCGCTCCTCCGGATCGTCGTCTTCCCCGTCCTCAACGGCTCCTGCCTGCCGCGATCGTCTTCCCCTTCCTGCTCATCGTAGCCATAAGACCCCACGCCAACATTGCTACGCCGAAGTATGGTAATCTCTCTCTCTCTCTCTCTCTCTCTCTCTCTCTCTCTCTCTCTCTCTCTCTCTCTCTC